TTGGCCAGATTCAGGCTTTCGCTCCTTAGTATAGTTCTTGTCTACCTTCTATCTTTTGTTTCTACTCTGATTTCAATTTCATTACGGTTTTTCTTTTCTCTTTCGTATGATGCTAGATGACATTGTTAGCAGTGAGACCGGACAGTGTCAACTGCGCGCGCATTCTATTCGCATTGCGATTAGTTTAAATGCGATACTCCCATTAGATATTTCACTATATTCTATTTGATACTATATACTTGCTTTTTTCTTCTTATCACCGATTTTACGTCATGCTTATGGTCCTGTATAGTCCAGCTGTGTCCAGTCTGACATTGCTTCATATTGTGTTATTATTTTGTCGTCATGCATCTTACCTTCTCACCGACTATCCTGCGCCATAGGTCATTTACGCTGATATGCGATACAAAGGCTCGATTGGGGAAAATAATTGTTTTGTAGTATATAAATATGTTGTATAATGTGACTGATGCACTAGATTTTTCTTCATTTCAAAGTAGTGCCGTAATATTATTTTCTTTGAATTAAAATTTTAATAATATAATAATCTTATATAATATATAGTTTTATCATTATTTTTTATACTATATTGAATGTCTTTTTATCTATATATCCTTTTCTGTTGACTCTATCTCCTTGTTATCCTTTCTTGGAGATGACTCCTCTGTACTCTCTCTGTTTCTTTATGTCAGATAGGTACTTTCTTGTACCCCTACCACCTATCTCTTTCCCGCTATTTATATTCTATTCATGCCTCGTTTCGTTTTGCGTTTTTATAATGAGTCCTCTGTCAGTGAACTATTTTTTAGATATGTGTATTTATTTTATCTTAGTGTACATTTTTTTCTTTTTTTACTTGAGTCCTGTGGACTAGTTTATATCTAAATAGTTAAGTGTCTAACCTGTTCAAGGGCCCATATTAATTCGTTCTCAACTCGATGTAAGTTCTTATGTCTAGTCTGATTTTGTTTTTCTTATTTGAATGTTTCAATGTGACCTTTTCGCCGCTGACCTACTAACAGCACAAGTAAGCTGTTGACATGTATAGCAGTAAATACTTTGTCCATAATGGCACCAAAATCGTCCGTCACTCGAGCAGTGTGTGTTGTGTGCGTGCCGTTGCGTGTGCGTGTGGATGTATGTTGTGTCTGTGACTGTGTTGGTCGCCGCGCGCCGTGTGCGTGCTGCGTGCGTGTCGTGTTGTACGTGCTGTGTGTGTGTTGCGTGGCGCGTGCGCGCGTGTGTATGTGGTATGATCATATACGTTACAGCATGAAGGAGCAGTGTTTTTCGCCTTCGCCACTCAGCATTCCTCCTCGGCCTTCTGCCATGTTGTTTCTTTTGAGAAAGCGCACGACGATGGCCTCTTTCGAGTTTTTTCGGGCCGAAAGGAGTGCGTAGTGTGGCGGTACTGCAGGTTTATTGCCAAGTCGTCATGCGTTTTCCTCAACCTCATGGGGCGGTTAATTACGATTAGACATTTTTACTACTGGCACCTGCTATTAATAGTATAAGCAATGATGATGTATCTCTATATTGAAGAGGTTTATATCGTTGTAAAATGGTGAGTTGCCTCAGTAAATAGTCATTCACATATATATAGCATATCTAACTTTCAACCGTAAGTCATTCTCCAGGATGTGTTGCTGATAAAATATTGCAAGGGTTTGTCTGGTGAGATATAATATATTATATATATATATATATATATACTATAT